CGGCGGAGTGAAGGGGGGCGGGTTGCTTGAAGGTCCGGCCGGAGGGGGTTGGGCGGGGCCGGGGCAGCCGGAGGTTCGGCCTGCGGACGCCGGTCCCCCGCTGGGCCGTGCCGGCCTCGTTTTCTCCCCGCCCCCCCCTCATCCCTAGCGGGGTGGGGCGGCCTGGCCTGGTGGGCGAGGGCGACCGTAGGTTCGGCCGGCTGGGGGTGGGGGCGGCGACGGTGCTAGCCGTACCTTGCGCCCCTTCCTCCCCCCCTCCCGGCCGAGGTTGGACTGCCCGGCCTGGGGGAGGGGGGCGGTGCCGCGCCTGGATGGGATGCCCGGGGGCTAAGCCCCCTTTGCTGCAGGGAGTGGGGGGCAGCACCCCTATACTCACAACTCTCACTGAGCCCGACACCTAGGCCAGCCTTGCGGGAGGGGGGAGGATTAGCTGGTGAGGTGGGAGCTGCTGGCCTCCGATCCCCCTCCTCTCGCTCTCCCCCTCCCCTCTTCTCTTCCTCTCTTCTCGCTCTCCCCCTCCCCTCTCCTTTCCTCTCGCTCTCCCCCTCCCCTCTCTTCTCTTCCAGATCCCATCTCATTTTCTTCCCCTGCCTTACCCTCTCCATCCCATCTCATCTCATCCCATCCCATCCTATAGATGGCTGATCAGGTGTAGCTCTACTTCACCTTCCCTAATAAACATATAAGGAAAACGAAGAATAAACAATCAATATCCTCTCTTTTTTTTTTTTCCTTTTTCATAACGTTCTTTGATGTTATTTTAAAATTATTTTTGGTTCTCTTTAACAATCATTTATTAAATGCCTACTTTGAGCTAGGCATTTGAATAAAAAATGCAGAAATGAGACAAACAGGCCTTCACTCATCTATTGGAGCAGTTGTAGTATTGTTACTACATATTACATACTACATACATAATAATATTCATTATATACCACTGTAATACTCCTTTACTTAAAAAACCCTTCAGTGAGCCCTCATTCTCCCCTGCTTGAAGTCCAAACTCCTTAGCCTGACATTTGAGGCCCTCTGCTGTCAGTCTTAACCAACAGGTTTAGCCCAATTTCCCTAACTGGATGATTTCCACTGGCCTGATCATCCCATCAGCCCCAAACTGAATTCCCCCACACTACTTCCTCACCAGCCCCACGTCCTCAGTACTCTCCAACTTCTTGGGGCTCAGCTCGTGTTCGTTCTGTCCTTGATGATTGGTGCCTTCTCAATTTTCCACAATGTTTGTTCTATGGCAGGGGTTCTTAACCAGGGTTTGGGAACTTGTTAAAAAAAAAATGGTTGGACATAAAAATATTTGGATAACTATTTCAGTAAAATTGATTTCTTTTGTAATCCTATGTATTTAAAAACATGATTCTGAGAAGAGGTCTGTAGGCTTCACCAGCCAGCCAGACCATTTCATGACACTGAGGTGAAAGTCCCTGCCCCTTGGGATTCTCTTTTCATGTGTTTTTTCAATTCAGTGATCCTGTTAGACTCTGGCATTTTGTTCTTGTTTAATGTAAATCGTTGAATTCAAAGTTCACTTAATTAACCCCCTGCCTCATCCTCCCCAAAGCACACATCATCTTGGATACTTACTTGGTAAATGTTGCTTGATAGGTTGATTCTTCCTTCATCTGAATGGGCTCAATATTTTTTTCTTCTGATGGCATAAGTTGTAATTTTATTATTGGAGGTAATGGAGCTCATGACTGCCTTTGGGCTTTTCTCTAGGTCGACACCTCCAAGGTTGTCCACATCCACTCCGTCATCGTTCTTCGACGTTCAGATAAGAGGAAGGATCGAGTGGAGATTTCTCCTGAGCAGCTTTCTGCTGCTTCTGTGGAAGCAGAAATATCCTTTGGGGGGCAGCTGTAGTCAAGGGGGCTCAGTGGCTAACATCAGGAAGCGGAAAGGGGAATCTTCCTCTTTTGCAGTCTGAAGATCCCAGGGTCAGATCTTATCACAAGGAACCTCAGCTGATGCTGAATCCCCACCCTCTTAGGATGCCATTTGAGTATAGTTAATATGAGAAGAGCTAAGAGCATGCCATAGTATTGCATGAGAACTAGGGACCATAGGGACTTTTAGGGAAGCCCCTGAGTGAGTCTGTGATGATTGCTGTTGAGAACCACCTGGGGAACCTAGGCAGATTCCTCAAGTGACCCTGACCACTGCTGTCAGATGGAACCCCCTAAGTTGAATTTGGGGATTTCTGAAGAATTCATGACAACCAAGTAGCTGCCCTGGCTGTCAGTTTTTTTTTCTGCTCTAGGAAAGGGGCTAGGGGTAAGGACAGAAATGAGGAAAGAGCATGGAAAAGACTGATCAGAATGACTGGCAAGCTGGAAGTGAAAAAATTTTTTTAATGGAAAAATGATAATTGGGGGAAAGTTAAAATATTAAGTACTTTTTAAAAACACTTGCACATTTGAAGTTAATTTGTTTAAGAACATAAGAATGGATTACACATACATGTACATATATGTGTATATATGTATATATCCATACACATATACTACATATACACACATATATCTGAAAATTCTCGCGCTGCTCAGATTGTCTGACCTAGAGTACTCTATTTGATTCTCTCCTGTGAGTTTTAGGAAAAAGAGAAAAATTCTATTCACACAAGAGTAAAACAAGCAGTATCAGAACAATTTGGCCTCTGACATGGATCGTTCCATGATCTTGGACAGATTGATTGGGCTACTTCCTATACCCTAAACTAGAAGTCACCAAGCTGCCCATGTTGGTAGAGGGCCTCATAGGGAACTCCCTAGCCAAGTGCAATCCCAGGTCTAGTTAAAAGCAGAAGTGGAAGAGGGAGATGGGTTATTGTTTGATCCTAATGACCTCAGTGGTATCGTGGGACTTTAGAGTTGGATGGGCCTTTAAAAGCATTCTGAACTCTCTTCTACAGCATACCTGTCAGATTCAGCCTCTGCTGAGAAAGGTGGTGAGAGGAGAGAAAGTGGGGGCACCTGTTATAGGCAGTCTAAAATTGTTATAGGCAGTCTAAAGTTATTATAGGCAGTCTAAAGAGAAGTTGGGCCACAAGAGGGGTGATAGTGGAGATAGATTTTTTTGAGGATGGGGGGGGAAACATGGGCACTTTTCTAGGCAGTAGAGAAACAGCCAGGAGATGAGGAAAGACTGAAGGTGAGTGTGAGAGTGAGGATGATGGGAAAAAGGGGCAATCTGTTGGAGGAAATGGAATGGGGATTGCTTGTGTTTTGAGGGATTGACCTTGGTAAGGAGTGAGGCTATTTCATCACGTGAGACAGGTGAAGGATGGCCTCACTTTTTTTTTATGTGAAATATGAGGCAGGGTTCTCAGCTGAGGAAGAGGGAGCAGGGGAGCCATGGGAAGTGTGAGGAGAGATGAGAAGGTTTAAAAAAGCCGACATGGAGAGTGGGAGAGGGAGTTGATAAGGTAGGTAGAGTAGGATTGCCTGACAGCTGTGAGGGCTCAGGTGAAGTTGTATGACATCAATTTGTAGTGGACCCCATCAGAACAGTTGCATGATTTTCTCCACCTTTTTTCAGTAGCTTGTGTGTAGAAGCAAATGGGAGGAATGCTGGGAGTGATCCTAGACTGAGGCTTGGCTGGGAGTAATCAGAGATAAGGGCTTGAGAGGTGGCCAGGGTAGACTTGAACTTGTTTATGGAGGAGTCAAGATGGGTAGCAGAAGAGGAGAGAGAGAGGAGTGATGGTCTGGGAGAAATTTGAGGGGTGGAGGAATAGGAGGTCACAGTTTGGACAAAGAGTTGGGTTTGGTAAGGGAAGGCAAAAGGAAAGGTGAAAAGCCAATAGATTATGGTTGGATAAGGGGATTTCAGAATTCTTGAAAATGGAGGTGGTGAATTTATGGGTGATAGCAAGATCAGAGGTATGATCCTCTTTGTGTGGCTAAGGTGGGGTGGAAGACGAAGTCACCCCTTCCCTAATTTGTCATTTTCTGCTTTTTTTGTTAACTTTGCCAGTCTGATGGATATGAAGTAGATTCTTAGAGTTGCTTTAATTTGCATTTCTCTAGTTATTAGTGATTTGGATAATTTTTTCTGTGGTTCTTGATAGCGTGGGTTTCTTTTCTTTCTTTTTTTTAATTTGTGAGGTAATTGGGATTAAGTGACTTGCCCAGGGTCACACAGCTAGTGGGTGTTATGTGTCTGAGGCCGGATTTGAACTCAGGTCCTCCTGACTTGAGGGCTGGTGCTCTATCCACTGCGCCACCTAGCTGCCCCTGAATTTTTTTTTTAACATATGTTTTTAAAACTTTGGATTACAAATTTTCTCCCTTCCTCCCTCCCCACCCACCCTCATTGAAAAGGCAAGTACCTCGATAAAGGTTATACACGTGTAGTCATGCAAAACACTTCCATAGTAGTCCTGTTGTGAAAAACTAAGTTTATTTCCCTTCATCCTATCCCATCCCCCATTTATTCTATTCTCTCTTTTGAACCTGTCCCTCCTCAGAAGTGTTTGCTTCTGATTACCCCCTCCCCCAATCTGCCCTCCCCTCTATCATCCCCCTGCTCTCTTGTCCCCTTCCCCCGTTATTTTCCTGTAGGGTAGGATAGATTTCCATACCCAATTATGTGTGTTATTCCCTCCTTAAGCCAAATCCTATGAGAATAAGATTCACTCATTCCCTCTCACCTTCCCCCATTTCCTCTCCACTGTAAAAGCTTTTTCTTGTCTGTTTCATGTGAGATAATTTACCCCATTCTACCTCTCCCTTTCTCCTTCTCCCAGTATAATCCTCTCACCCCTTAATTTTATTTTCCAGATATCACCCCTTCATCTTCAACTCACCCTGTGCCCTCTATCTATATGTATATATACATACATATAATTTTTTCCCTCCAACTACCCTAATACTGACAGAGGACTCATGAGTTATAAATATCATCTTTCCGGGCAGGAATGTAAACAGTTCAACCTTAATAAGTCTCTTATGATTTCTCTTTCCTCTTTACCTCTTCCATGTTTCACCCTTCAAATGAATTTCATTTTAATTTTTTTCACCTACCAAAGTAATCCTTTGATTTGCATGGCACTGAATGAGTTAATTTAGTTAGTAGTATTATTATTATGTTAGTTTGGCCTGTTGTTGTTCACTTGTTTCAGCTGTGACTGACCCTTCCTTGACTCCATTTGGGGTTTTCTAGGCAAAGATACTGAAGTGGTTTGCCATTCCCTTCTCCAGCTCATTTTACAAATGAGGAAACTGAGGCAAACAGTTAAGTGATTTGCCCATAGTCACATAGCTAGTAAGTGTATGAAGCCAAATTTGAACTCAAGTCTTCCTGATTCCAGGCCCAGCACTCCACTCACTGTGCCACCTAGCTGCCCTGGTTTGGCCTACCCATGAGCAACGAAAATTTTCCAATATTTAAGTCCGACATTATTTCTGTAAATAGTTATATTCCTATAGTTTCTGGGTGTGTGTTGATAGGTAGATTCCCAGGTACTTTATGCATTCTGTAATTATTTTAAAGGAAATTTCTCTTTCTATCTCTTCTGGCTGGATATTTTTGGTAACAAATGCTGATGATTTATATGGATTTATTTTGTAGCCTTCACATTTGCTAAATTTATCATCTTGATAAGTTTTAGTTGACTCTGTGGGATTCCCTAAGTATATTATCATATCATGCACCAGAAGTAATCATTTATTTTATTTTATTTTTTTTGTGTCTGCTTAATCCTTCAATTCCATGTTTTGTTATCGCTAACATTTCTAACTCAGTAACATATAAAAGTCCTGGCAGTGGATATCTTTGCTTTACCTTTGATCTTATTAGAAAGGCCTCTAGGTTATCCTCATTATATGTGATGATGACTCTTGTTTTTTTGGTATGTGTTATTTACCATGGAAAGGGCCATTTATTCCTTTGTGTGTGTGTGTGTGTGTGTGTGTGTGTGTGTGTGTGTGTGTGTGTTTAACTGAAATGTATTTTGTTGAAATTGTATTTTGTTGAAAGAGCACATGCAGTTTGGGGAGATCTGAGTTTGAATCCTGCTTTAGACAATCCCTAGCTCTGTGACCCTGGACCAGTTAGTCACTTGACCTTTCTGTGCCTCACTTTCCTCATCTGTAAAATGGGGATAGCACCTACCTTCCAAGGTTGTCATGAGGATGAAACAAGATAATCTTTGTAAAGTAGCTTGTGAAACCTGTATATACATGCTATAAAATACTAGTTATTATTACTATTAATGTGGTCTGTTATGTTTATAGATTTCCTAATATTTAACCAATCCCACATTCCTGGTAGTCAGCCTGATCATAGTATATGATTTGTTTCATATGTTGCTATAATCTCTTTGCTAATATTTTAAACATTTTTTTTTTAGAATTTGAGTTCCACATTCTCTACTTCCCTCCCATTGAGAAGGCAGCAGTAGGATATCAGTTATATACGTGAAGTCATTTTGCTAATATTTTATCTAAAATGTTTGGATCATTGTTCATTTGGGATATTAGACTGTCATCAGGTTATGTTGCTATTTGCCTGCTTCTCTGTATTTATCACATTCATTGTTATAGTACAGTCATATCCCATGACATTTGTGTACCAGTTTGTTAAGCCACTGCCTAGTTGATCAGTTCATTCTCTTTGCAATTCTTTGAGAGCACAAAAATTGCTGCTATAAATATTTGGGTGTATGTGGGGACATTCTTTTTGTTGGTGCCCTCTTTGGGGTGTAAGCCTAGTCAAGAGTCAAAGGGTGTGGACATTTTAGTCACTTTATATGCATTATTCCAAATTGCTTTCCATCAGTAAGCATTCATTAATCACCTACCCCATGCCAGGCACTGTGCCAAGCTCTAAAGATACCA